GCTGAACCATGTTGTCATCGTACCGTGCATGAGAGAGGTTATGACTGCAAAGGTACTGTCCGAGAAAACAATATAACTCTGAGAAAAACATGTCATTCACTGAGATTCTCGATGCGCGCACTTCCCGACTCTTCTTTCCCAACCCCCCCCCTCCAGGCCGTTCCACTGTCTCTCTATATATATATATATATCTATATGTAATATGTATGTATGTATACTTTTACATATATATATATATAGAGAGAGAGTGTGTGTGTGTCCCCCTTGCATGGATCCACCGTTTTCGCTTAGCAGCAAGGCTGTCTAGGGCTACTGACACAGTGAAACTGGTAGATCCTTGGGGGGCCGGTTCGCCTTGCAGGTGCACGACATAAAGCAAACAATATTTTCTGGTCGCGGAGCAGGCATCCAAAAACATGTTTTCTTGGGTGGCAGTTCAGCACGTTTGCAAGAAAACCAACCAAAATGCGGTACTGTCCCGAAAAACCAGTCTTGTGTTGCTAAAGTGCTGTAGTGTCCCATTAAAAAAACAAAACATAATCTTTTCCTGTCTTGGAGGCTAGCTCCAAAAGATGGTCTTCTTGGGACAGTCCAGCACGCTTGTACGAAATTAACAAAACCGCTGTACTGTTTTGGCTCAAATGCTGTACTTTCAAACAAGCAAAAAAGCAATATTTTCCCGTCTTGGAGGCTAGTTCCCGAGGCATTCAAAAAGATTTTTTTGGGACAGTACTGCTCTTCTGCAAGAAAACCGACAACAATGCTGTACTGTCCCAAAAAACCAGTCTTGTGTTGGAAAACCAAAGAAACCAATGGACACCTTGCCCCCGGACCTGAAAAGATTGTTTTGATTGGGGACAGTGCAGCACTTTTGCAAGATAAAACTAACCAAGGGAGCAGGGCGTGCCCTGCAGAATAGTGTGAATGTGACATACTTTTCCTGCAGTTTCTTTCAGCCCGATTATGTGAGTGACGTAAATGTCAGGGCAGACAAAAGCAGGAATTCCTACTGCTGTTGAGACGAATTTCACCTTCGTGTGGAAGGAGTCGTTGGAGCAGCAGGTTTTCGGTTTGCGAACACAAGACCCTCAAAGCCATGACATCTCCATGGCGCAAAACAGGATCGTCGGCTTCTCAATCTCATTATGAGGGGTTAGGGCACGGTGTTATCCTTGAAGCTCCCTCTTATGATGATGAAGGGAAACAGCAAGGTTGTCTGTTGTCTGTTGTTTGTCCCCAAACCCCAAATCACAGACCATAACCCCGACACCGCCCTCTGCTCTGTCTTGCACAAAGAGGAGAGTGCGACACCTGATCATTCTATTGGTGGAAAAGCATCCACTCAAACAGGTGATCGATGGAGAATTGTGGTTAGGACATATGCTCAGCGTGCAGGATGAATACTACTTGTGGTGGCAAGAATCAACCTTTGGTCCATTGTTGAGCTGCCCAAAGATTCCTATTCACTTTTGCAGCGTGCCTGCTTCGCGATGCAAAGCTCGTACTTCGTACCATTCGGTGTGGATGTTTCTCGTTTCCTCGAGGGTGATGCCTACATAAAGTTAAGATGGATGACTTCGGAAAAGAAAAAGGCGGTTCAATCAATCCTGAGTGGTGATAGCATCAACCAAGGCCTCCCCGGGACACTTGCACCACCCGCAGCCGGCGACCCAAATGCAGCGTTGCCGGGAGCTGCAGGTTCAAGTGGTCTGGCTGCCGCATTGGCCAGCCAAAAGGGCAAAGGCACCGGATACCCACAAGTGCATGAAGCGCAAGCAGATGAGCGAGAGCTAGGAGGGGCAGCAGACAATCTTCGACAGCAAGGGAAAAACAAGCGAACCGTGGAGGATGCTCGTACTTCTGAGGTTGACGCTCCTGAATCGTATCAAGACATCAGTTCAGGGCGCAAACCTCGTGAAAGCCGTGAGTCAGCATTGAGATTATCCAGTAAGCGGAAGAGGAAGAAAAGCCGCAAGGAACGCAAAAGGTCTTCCAGCGCTGGTTCAACGACGTCAGCGGATGACGAGCCGGTTTTTCGATTAGTCTCGCTTCCGGAGGGGGTGGACAAGAAGCGGGAGATGCACGAACGCAAACCAGGGCATCTCGCGAACCTCACGCTGTTGCGATACCAGGAGCTGCTGGAAAGGTCCACCGGAAGAGAGGCACGAACAGGCACCAGGATGCCTTTCCCCCAGTGGGACGAGCCAATCTCAGTCAGATTTACATGGTTCGCCACCCGTCACAGGAGCTTGGCCCCCGAACGACCCGGAAATGCAGACCATCCTTACAGCGATCGACTATTTGGCATCCAACGATGTGCTGCGAGCATTGGATGTTCTGATCCAGCACCGAAAGGCCCTAGAGCTAGCAACGGAGCAAGGTTCGTGGAGTCAGGCAAACCTGCTCGAGCTTGTGAACCCGTCCGAGGAGCGAAGCTACTTCAGGCAGGAGCTGAAAGCAGTGCAATCGGAACACATAGCCGAGTTACAACTGCAGCGGAACCCATGGGCACCCCGGCGACTTTGGTGGGGCACTGGAGGAAAAAAAAGGTCGAGGAGCAGGCAAAGGCGACACAGATCCCGAAGCAGCACCTTTCAACATGGGCGACGAGGAACAGAAGGGCAACAAGAAGCGCAACAAAGGAGGAAAAGGAGGGAAACACCGCGGGTGGAAAAAGTGAAGGCTTCAGATCAATCACCCGGCCGCGAAGTGCAAGCTACACTCGAGGAGATCTTCCAACATGTGCATCCATCTCGAGTTTCAGGATTTAGTGCACAGGTGAAAAACATGAGTGACAGTAACTCGCAGGATGCAGTGAAGAACGGCATACTCGGCATATGCCAACTTTTCGGATTTCTTGCGGAAGACTCTCATCCGGATGAGCAGAGTTCTCTGCCAAATGAAAGCAGAGTTGGGCGTTAGTGAAGTGCATGTTCATCGCGGCATACAGATCCGACGAGTGTCCCCTGATTGGATCAGTGCTCCATGAGGCCTTTCGTGAGTGCATGGACCCTTCACTTGTGCGTGGTCTCCTGCAATCGCGCCCGCTGTATGTTGGTGCGCGTGAGCCCGTGAGTGTGGCCATTGAGGTTCTCGACTTTTTCAATGTGGCAAAAAATCCGAGGGTTTCTGATGTTTCGCCTTGGGTGGAGTATCATCGGCATCTGGAGGTATGAATTCGAGGCAAGCTTTCCGTTTCTCACTTGGCTGTGGCCTTGAAGCACTTGGATTGTGTCAAGCACTCCTGGAAATCTGCACGTTGGGTATCCCTTACCACAGAGTGATCTGAAAACCCCGCGTGAGTGGTTTTCCATCTTCGTAGACAACTTCGATCAAACTTTGGTGGTTGCTGAGTCAGAGGCTGGAGTGTACATGGTGCCGCATCGGAGGCGCAACACAAGTTGAGACAGGTCTATGGTCTATGATTCATGCGGTGTCGAACGTGAGCCTGCGAAAGCAGCTGACACTGAGGGAGTGTTAGAGTGGAGTACATTGGGGGCTGAGCAAGGTCAAGGCTTGATCGGCAGTGCCCTCGACTTTCGTTCGACTTTCGTAGAGCTCTCTTGGGTGGCACGCTCCACTTGCTTCGCCACGAAGGTGGAAACATTCGGATCCAGGAAATGTTGACCACAGTGAGCAAGCACATGCACAGCGCACAGTACAATAGGCCTTTGGCGCGCATTTTCAACAAAGTGTTCCATCACATTGCATTGGAACGCTGTCCCCCTCTTGACACCAATGTCGCTGATGAGCTTTGGCTGTTGTTGATGGCGCTGCCAGCACACTGGATGAACACCAAGGCCAAGTTGGATCACAGAGCCTGGGCGACAGATGCCTCGGAGGACGGTGGCGGAGCTTGCCACAGTGTTCAGATCTCAAAAGTAGGCGAAGCTCGGGCACACCTCTTGGCACATGACGTCGAGTGCATTGGAGGTTCTCCTGCTGCCCCCATCTTGGTGGTAGAGGTCTACGGGGGGTGGCCTAAGCCGTGCTTTGCAGTTCTTGGGCGTCGTCCCCATGAGGTGATTTTTCTGGACTCAAATGCGCGTGCCCGCAAGCTTGAGAAATCCCACATGCTCTTTGCATTGTTCTATTCCAAGATTGAAGAGTTGACTCAGGAGGGGGTCTCCAGATGGCGCAACATGTTCAGACGAGTTTAGCGTGTTTTGCTAGTTGGCGGTTGGCCTCAAATTCGCGGGGATTTCCACCACCTAGACAAGATGCTTGAGGTCAGACGTTGGTTACAAGAAGCCCCTGCAAGAACGGATCAACCACCATGGACGTTGGTTGAATTGTACGAAAGTCTTGCTCTCGATCCGGCGCAAGCCCAAGTGGCTGATGCCAAGATTGGGTGCAATCCCTTGCATGTCAAGTGTGAAGAGTTTGGTTGGTGTTGCAGGACCCGGCAGGTTTGGCTTCGCGGGCTTGACATTACTCCTGCTCAGGATCTCGCCCTGACCGACGCCAGGGACTCCAGGACGGGGTTGGCGCATGTTGAAGTTCGGGCAACTTGCACAAAACCTGCAAAGCGATTGAGCAAGCGCGAATGTTGGGCTTTGGCTCCACTCATTTTGATGGTCTGACGCCAGCCGCGTCTAAGGATGAAATGGGCCATTTCGTTGCTGTGGCTTTTTCAGTCTTGTTGGTCGCTCGGCTCCTTGTTGGATTGACCGCCTCGGCGGAGATGTGTCGCAGAAAATTCCTTCTGGATCTTCTGTGAGATGCGTGGCAAAGTCGCGAACAGCATGACTATCGCCAGCGCCGTCGCACTTGGAGCGAAATGTTTGGTCCGCAGGCTGGGTGCATCCCGGAGGGATGCAGTCTTCGTGAACTACTCGGCATGCGGCCAAATCCTGCGCCTACTGGGCCTACTGCCTCGCAGATCCAGCCCAAAAGCTGAGCAACGAAGAGTTTCTCATTCTCAACTACCTTCGACTTGTTTCACACAGAGGAAGTGACGTGCGTTTTGACACAGGTGGGCCTTATTCTCCGCATGAGCTTGCAAGGAGGCCCATCGATCCAGCCAGTTGGATTTGGAAAGTGTTCCTCTCTGACAGGTGGAAGCAGTCCGGCCACATCAGCGTCCTGGAAACTGCTGCTGTCCTTGATCTCTTGCGGAAGTTGGCCAGAAATCCCCAAGAAATGCATTTTCGGCCCTTACGTTTGATTGACAATCAGTCTGTGCTTGGAGTGCTCGCCAAAGGCAGATCGTCCAGTCAGGCTTTACAAGCTCCCTTTACTCGCATCTCCGCACTGCTGGTGGCTACTGAAACCAGGCTCATTCTAGGTTGGGTTCAATCCGCGCTGAATCCCGCGGACGGGCCCTCGCGTTGGCGTCATGCCAAACTCTGATGCTGCAACTTATCCGACAAAAGGCCTCCAAGGCCAGCTGCCAGCAGGAGAGACGTAAGTTAGGAGCCTTGACATTGCACATTGTTGCGCCCAATAAATACACTCACTCGGACTCGATATCGCACGCATGTCTACAAAAAATTCCTCGACTATTTGGTTTCAGTTGGAGCTGCTGGATGAGTTCGTATGCCAATACATAGAGTATTTGTGGGAGTCCGGCGACTCCAAATCGTGGGCTGGTGATTGCTTGTCCGGATTGGGACATTTTATTCCTGCCTGCAAGCCGTGGCTTGCGGGAGGATGGCGGTTGCACGCAGTTCCTTCACGAGCTTTGCCTTTCACGGAACTCATGGTCTATGCGTTGGCCCAGGGTGGATGCAAGTCGCCGAGACTCATCGTTTCGCATGTGTGGGCCGGTGCACTGCGGCCATCGGGCCTCCTTCGCAGGGCCATAGGGCCTCAGAGAGATCTTGCCAAGTTGCGAATTGGTCGTAATCGACAGTAAGCATTGTCCTGTTGAGACCTGTGAGGAGCTTTCACAAATTTGAGGAACTGGACTCAAGCGAGTGCTCTTCGCGTTTTCTCTTCGGGCATGCAGTATAGTTAATAGGTCAGTACTCTTCAAGTTTCAGACTCCCCTATTGCGCAGCTGGAAAAGTGCAGCTTGAGCACCAGGGAGCAGGGCGTGCCCTGCAGAATAGTGTGAATGTAACATAATCTTGCTGCAGTGTTTCTCTCAGCCCGCCGCTTGCCCCTGTCTCCGCCCTGATGCAAGTCGCCGAGACTCATCGTTTCGCATGTGTGGGCCTATGCACTGCGGCCATTGGGCCTCCTTCGCAGGGCCATAGGGCATCAGAGAGATCTTGAAAGTTGCTATAATTGGTCGTAGTCGACAGTAAGCATCGTCCTGTTGAGACCCGTGGGGAGCTTTCACACACCTGAGGAACTGGACTCAAGTGAGTGCTCTTCGCATTTTCTCTTCGGGCATGCAGTAGGTCAGTACTCTTCAAGTTTCAGATTCCCCTATTGCGCAGTTGGAAAAGTGCAGCTTGAGCACTAGGGAGCAGGCCCTGCAGAATAGTGTGAATGCGACATACTGCAGGACTTGAGCACTAAACATTGTACAGTCAAAAAACAAGGCTTTGGGATGCTTCCAAAGTCGAAGAGAATTGGCTGAGAGACCCACGCGGTACAGAATGTCTTCTCGCGAAAGTCTCGCGATCTGTTAGTTTTTTAATTTTCAATTACAAAGGAGTTCTGTTCTGTGGCCTCTTTAAGCATTAAGATCTGGATTCATTGTAAATTCTTATTCGTGAACCTGATATTTGGCTTCGAAAACCTTGACTTGAATCGCTGCAGTACATAAAGGGAAGCAGTTTGCTCAGCTGGTGGTGAAAGGGGAGATTCGATTAAACCATGACATTTATCACAAGTAGCAATGACGTCTGTTTACGTTTCAAAGGCAGTTTGTGGGTATTCAGCTGTCGTTGACGTTTCTACTGTACTGAAGTGGAATTTAGTCTAATTGTGTTTCAAATCGTACAACACTTACACTACTAACTACCACGGTTTGTAGTTGTTTATCAGAGATGGTAAAAAGGTGTTTTGTTTTTGGCTGTCAGTCTCGCTGACTATTTGCTGTTTTGGATCATAAATTAAATGTAAAATTTGATTATTTCAGTGTGCACTATTAAATTGTGATGGGTACATGAAATAGAATAATGTAAGTGAATAAGTGAATTACTGTTGTCTACTTAATTCCATCGGAATATACAACAAAGAATAGGCTTTGGGCTTTTGCAAAGGATGAAAAATGGCTGAAGGCAATTTTAGCATTTCGCATAATTAAAGGTAAGGTGGTAGTAGTAGTATAACGGGATAAAGGTTATGTAGCGCCTTAATAACAACTGATTGACAGAGCATGTCGTTTCATCATAGACCGTTTGAATTTTCCATGGCAACGCCTCCTCCAAGCAGCTCACTGCTCAAATTCGCAGTGCCCAATACGAGTACTGGCACCGCACCGAAGACTTTTGGATGTGTACAGGAGAGCTGCTGGAGGACGATATGCAAGGCTTTGTCAAGCAACCAGAGTGCTACCGTGCACAGTTTTGCTTTCATGTGTTCTTCAATTCGCAAACATGTTTTGGCTTTCTGAATGCTGGCCCTAGGTCTCCGCTTCGCACCCGTTGCGTTTAGGCAAAAGTTGCTCATCCGAAATCCCGACGAAGCAAACTCGCAAGCTGCATGTGTCACGCTCGTCTACTGCATGTTTCGTTTACGCTTCGTTTGCCTTACAGACGTCCGAATCGGCTGCTTCTGGTTCAACACACAGCCAAAATGGTGTGTTGGTTCCTCGGGGGGTTATCATAATTATCATACATGTATATTTGCATACTTGCATACACACATGCAGACATACATACATACATACATAAATACATAAACACATACATACATATACATACATATACATACATACCTACATACATACATACATACATACATACATACATAGACGCGTACATATAAACATATACGCATGACCTGTTTGTATGTAAACACGTATAACTATGTCGAATTATGTGTATATGTATATACACATACGCATGCATAGATATACATATGCATAGATACAGTGCAATATGGTAGGGAACCATGGTTTCAACTGTAACGTGTCTCTTCAAACTCGGTTGGCAATATACAAGCACGTGTCGCAGCGCATCCTTTTTATTTGCAGCTAATAATCTGCCAAAGGTGGAAGGCTTCTTTGAGTCGGATCGAAAGCATGTAGGCACGGATTTGCAGGTCCTTTACCGGAAGTCGCCGAGCCGGACCGTCCGAGGCTCAGTTCACTTCCCCCCGCAACAAAGAATCAACACGACCATTCGCATCAACTGGCGGTCGCACACACACAATCCCGCCATATATACCGGGTATTGTGACTTTCTGACGACGAGAGAATTAGCTTGGGCCGTCATCATGTTTTTAAGACTGCTGCATCGCACTATCAAGCTTTAAGAACTGCTGCGGAAACCACAACAACCAGAGCGTCAACTTTGGCACTCTAGCTTTCTTCAGGACCCTGGAATTGAAGCAACAGCATCTACAAGGCTCTAGATGAAAGAAAGAGGGTTAATTTAATTATGGGGCTTGTCGAAGGATTGTCACACCCACCTTCACCTGCACATCTGCTTTGACACCACGCAGAATCCGGAAGCTGTGAAGAGCTTCCGTGTTGAGCTGAGGGGTTCAGAAAACCCAAACATGCAGCCCCTCTCCCGGGCGTGAGAATCTGTTCCCAAGGCCGATGCAAGCTGCTCCACGTTCTGAAGAGTTCGCTTATGGCTCCTTCAGGTTCTCAGAATTGAAGGTTTAAGGTTGCCTGATGCCTCAGGTTCAGATCCACTGACTCAGAAGGCACGGGCTACTGCCGCTGTGGGGTGCCAGGCATGTCACTCACGGTGAATGTGGCGTCACTGCTCGCCGCTGCTGTTTTGAGAAAACGATGAAGGTTTATGCTTGATACGGCTCGTTGTCCTGACCTTGCAATGTCAGCTGCAATTCCATCCTGTCGTTCCGCGATGGCCGATGGGGTAGACCATCTTGGCTTGGGCATTTGTGGAGATGTGTATAGTCGTACATACGACAGCTTTTTTATTGAACTAAGTTCAATCAGGCGCTTGGCCACTTTGGAAACTTGTTCTCTTGCCTTGAAACGACTGGGATCTGTCGAGGGTGTAGTGGGAACTCACTGGGCACCACATGAACCCGATCGGCAACGATGCCAGATCCTTTGCGAAGATGGTGTGGATCCGCGAGCAGAAGTGAACCTTCCTCGCACTTGGGTTGCTTCCATGAGTGCGTTCGTAAAGGAGAAGACTGTCGTTGAGTGTGCATCCAACTGGCTTTGCAACGAGTCACGTGTAGAAGGAAAAGGTCGTGGTGCAATTCTCGGGCTGGCATCAACGAACTACGCCCATCCACGGTCCGTGCACTGCTTGCGCCTGCGGAAGCCCCGCTTGCAATCAGTAAGAACATTCTCGTATCAGGTCATCGACGGATGGCGCTTGCGTGCTGACCAGTGCGTGCCTTGTGCATCCATGGCGAGGTGCATGAGCTACTGTAATGTTCATCAACCGTGCCGAGGCTTCACGTGCTCTCGGAGGCACGGAACATGCTACGCAGCAATTGACTGCACTCCTCAGTTCTCCACGAGCGGTGTTCAGTTGGATGCAGAAACCACATCCCCGCTGGCGCCAGTTTTGCGGAGGGGTTCTGCACGATGGCATTTTACTTCATTCCCCAAGTGGACATGGCCTTTGGCAAGAGAGCGAAGGCCGGGCTATCATCAGATTTATTTTCTTCTGCATCACAAAGCTAGATCATCAATGGTACTGCAGGTGGCAATGCGGATTGCAGCCCACTTTTCCATGTCGATGGACTTAGTTCAACTTCTGCCCAACCCTGTGCTGCGATGTGCTCGTGCCGACGTTGGTGTCTATTTTGTAACCACAGCGGAAGTTGTTCCCTTCCTCAACCATAACTGCCAGCCGTACCGCGCAGTGCATGTTTTGCGAGATCCGGTGGATCTTCTTGCTTCCGCATACGCATACCACAAGGCAATGTTAATGGAGCGGAACGACACAATCCCCAGGGTTCCTTGCGAGGTTCTAAGGCGGCTGCCACTCCTTCAAGGTTTACTGGTGGAGGCCTTTGCTGAGCTCAGGTTCACCCTGCATCACATGTCCGTAGTGCATCAGCAGTCACAGAATGACTCTCGCATTCTTTCCGTGCATGGGGAGGAGTTGTCCCAAGATTTGGATGGCATCTTGCAGCGCCTTCTGAAGCACCTTTTTCCTGAACTTCCTCGGCATCGGCAGATTATGCTTAAGTTTGATGCTTCCATGCTGGATGCCCGCCGCTGTGGAAGCACCACAATGGCCGACACGATGCTGCAACCAGCCGGCCACCAGTTCTTGAAGGAACAGGCTCTGCAAGCAGTTCGCTCTTTGCGAGATCGGAAGCCCATCGTCAGAATCCACGAGATTCGAAATCTGCTGGGGTATCTGGACCCGCTACGGGCCAGGGGCCTGATGCGGCGGACATGCAGGCGAGCCCAGTTCAGTGTGGCAGATTCTTTGAGTGGGATGGTGTTCCTCGCCAGTGGATCCCGTGCTCAGGGGCTGAAATGTTTTGCGCAGCATGGACACTACCTGCTATTCGATTCTGGGCTGAAAAGTCGCAGTAATGTATCAGCACCGTGGTTCAGAGGAGTCGGTGTGCCGGAAGGGCTTCTGGGAATCTGTGTCAACTTCACTCTCGTCGGCTGCGAGGTTCAAGCTGCTTGGAGTTTTCTGCTGAGGAGATTCAGTCAGCCACTCGAGACACCTCCCCCACCCGAAGCTATCATTCGTGCGCGCCTGTGCTCTCAGACTGCATTCGAAGCCTGGGCGGTTCTTCAAGAGTTCTTGGGCGAAGATTGCTGGAAGACATCGCTGCCTGTACTTGCGAAAAGATTGCAAAGTATGGATCTATTTGATCCTGCTCTGCAGACGGCTCTTCTCAATGCAGTTTCACTTGCGCAGTCTGAGTCATCTGTGCAGCTCGGGAGCCCCAAGAATCTTATCGAAAATCGCTCAGATTTCTGATGCTGCAGCCATGTCGAGCCGACTAGGCGCCAGAGTTTGTACCATAATATCTGTTGACCGCTGAACAAGTGCTTGTTTCTTGGTTGCTCCAGTCTTGGACCCGAAGTATAACCGGAAGTATTACTGCAGGACGTGGTTTGAGTGTTCGAGCGCTGGCAGTCGGGTGAGTTCGGGAGACCTAACCCATCGCTCGCGGCAGAGCAACCACTTTGGACTGTCGACCGGGGCTGCGTTGATCCCTCATTAGGCCCGGTATGTCGAAGCTCGAGACCCAACACATTCAGCCATTCAGCCTTGTCCAGAGCCCCTTCAGGCGAAAGCCTGCCTACGCTTCGGCCGAGCTTAAGATTCCTTGATCGACGGGGCTTTCGTGGAAAGGTGGAGGACCTCGATGCCAGGCTCGCTGCCGCTTTGGTCTCTCTCGGCCAGGCCGCTGGCAGGGCTTCGGCTGGGGTGTGCGCGTGGTCGTCGTCGTCGTCGTTGCTGTTGCTCTTGGTTGTAAGGTTGATGATGGTTGTTGTGCTTTGCCGTCTCGGATACATTTCGGTATCTTCAATCTGCCACGGAAATCTGGGACCAGTGTCCATGCGACATCTCGGCTCAAATATAGGTCGCCCGCATCGCATGCGACACACTGCAGCAAGTAGCCGCAGCCTCTTCGGAGGACATCGCGACCGCCCAACTTTGTGGCAAGCGGAGGATTGTTGACGATAGTGTAGGCGCATGTAAACTCCTCAAAGTTTAAATGAAGAAAGTCCATAGAGCCATATGCAGCAGCACCTTCGAAGCTGAACAGTTTGTACACCGTCCACCAAGCCCATGCCCTTCAAGCATGACTTTGCTCCCGGGGCAGGGCCCTCAATTGCAAAAGGGCTAAAGGTCACTCAGTGCTTCCAGTCCGGCTTTCCTACTGTGCACCGGCAACCAGATAGGGATGGACTCCGGGTGTTCCTCAGCCTGCCGACTGAGAGACAACTTGCTAGTGATGCTAGTGCGCATGCCGACCACGAGACTGCGGACGTGTTGTGAATCTTATTGCTTGTATCTGCTTGCGTGAGAACTTAAGACAACAGGGGTTTCATGCGCTGAACGACAGTCAGCGCTTGCCTTTGCTAGGACAGGGTGGTAGTCAAAGTCCACCGCCACAACCCTTTCCACCACGAGGCCATGCGAAAGTGCTCTGCCCCTTCATTTTTTGTGTTCTGTCGGTAGTGGATTGTGTATCCCTGACAGGCTTCAGTCAGTTCTGCAGCATCGAGCTCTGTAGTGGAAGATATTCCACACAAACCCAACAAAGCTTAAACATGCCACAATAGACTTTCGTTCATGAACATCAACTTTTTCACGGGCACATGAAATCTGCGATTGGTGAGCCGGCTCTTGCAGGAGTCGTACAAGGCGGGCGAGCATGGAGTGATCATCGAGGTGCACTATCCGCACTATGCTCATCGTTCTCCACCTTGCTTCTGACCATGAGTTGGTTTTGGCTGCAGAAAGAAGCATCACATTGTGGAGATAGGTTCTCGACCAAGGAAATGCCATTGCCGGCGACAGACACTTGCACAGAGCACCGACTTGCTGATGAGTCGAAGTCTTCACAGTGGAAGCCGAAGCGAATATTGGACAGTCAGTACCCACACCGACTTACACCTGTAAAATTACTGTAAAGCTTTAGAAGCTTTCAGCACTCAGCGGTGCAAGGTTCTGCTGGACAATCGCACTTGCAGTTAGTAGCTGCCCACAGCAGCTAAATTCAGGAAAGTGTAGGCTACCAGTGCAGGCAACTACTTGTTGTAGCTTACGCAGCAGTCCAGATGCCAGATGTCCCTATGATCGATTGTCAACCGGCCCGAAATCGATGCTGCTTCAGATGAAGATGCTTCTCCTCTATTAAAATTGCCAAAGCTATTTCGTAAATCAGTATCGTGAGCTCCGATCCAAGCGAAAGCTTAAATTATGTTCGCGTCCTTCTCTGCTTTCCGCTGGTCACAGGCTCAAGAGCGGTCAACTACGGTCCACCTGCGGCTGGACGGTTTCCTCGGGAAACAGGGCAATTATTTCAAGGCCGGAGGTGATTCTGCACTTTGCGGACTCTTTCTGGGAAAGTATTGTCCAACAGCGAGGCTTAATTCAATGCTTGGTAAGGGGCATGAGCGGCCTTCCAAGATGTCGTTTTACTGTACGAAGCACCGCAGGGCTAGGTTCGAGCGCAGAAGCTGAGGACCTGAGTTTCGGGCTCGGCATCATGCACAGCAAACACAACCCGTCTCAGATAAAGTCCGGCAGCTGCATGGTGGCAGTTTCTCGTCTTTATGTCAAGCTCTTGGCAGTTCCCATTAAATTAGTGACATACCGTTGGGGTCCGTGAAAGATGACGAAAATCCACAAGAACGACCAGATCATCACCCTCAGCTGCGGTGATTATGGACACAGAAACATGCACGCACGCACACACACACACACACACGCCGGCACGCGCGCAGGCGCATGCACGCACATATCACTGCTGGGTATACGAGGTGCAAGCCGTCAAGCCGCTTTTCACGCTGCCGGTTCGGCATCGGTTTGTGACAGCTCCCGACTGAGCAGCGACTTCGGATCTTCCAGTTGCATGAGGGGGTCAGGGGTTACAAACATCCGGTGGACACCAGGCAACAGGTCATGACACATAGAGGAAAGCGCGTTGTAATCCGTGCGTGCGAGAGCAGAGTCATGCGCTTGGGAAGATCGTGGAAGTAGCCTATCCGCCTATCTGCTTCGCAACTCAAGCGTAGAATAGCAGAATAGCATTCTTCTTGATGCAATGCGAACTTCGAAGCGAACCGGAGCAGACCAGCCTCTCAAGTCAAGGCGAGTGTGCTTCACATCCAAAAGCTGCCAGAGCTGATGCTCTACGATTTCGCGGTGTGTGGCTGAGCTTCATCGACGGGATGCATCCCATGCTCCGGGTCTTGTTTGTAAGCACCGCAAGTGCCACTCCACATGTCGCAGAACAGACGTATCGGCGCACGCTTCAGGCACTTGCGTCGAAAGTGTTTGCTTGAAACCGGTTCCAGCTGACAGCACCAAAGCCGGCCCCAAGTTGCCGCATTCCCGGACCAAGGTCTGGGAGCGAGCCGCTGGCAAGCCCGAATCAGGCGTTGCAGCTTGAGTTGACGTGAAGTTTTAGACTCCCGGGGCAAGTTGCCTATTAGTTTGCAAGCGACGTCATTGAATCTCTGAGTCACATTCTGCATCATTTTATGTCCAGAAGCTGGTGGTCAAGCACAATGAGGACCAAACCTCCACTGCCCGTCCCTGTAAGACCAACTATACGGTCCAGGGTAAATAGGTGCTACTGGTACTGCTTGAACTGACACTTTCTGCGGAGCACTTCCTGTTCAGGCTTGGACACAGGCGCGCAGGCTCTAGCTCCAAAGCACTTCGCAGCTGCAAGGCCATTTCATTGGCCGTATCATGGCGGTCAGTGAAGATGAGGAAGGCGTGCCGCCTTTGGCCTTCGTTTCATTCGTAAGTCGGAACATAGAGCAACTGGTGCTGTCATTCCTGTAACTCCCAGTGTTGCTTGTGGGAAGCTCTTGAGAACATTTGTAGCTTTGCCTTACGCAACGTTTGCGATTGCGGACAAGCCCGAGCTTTCCACCTTCGCGTTCTGGAGCTTTCAACTTCCAAGGTTGGAAGGTAAGAGCTGTTTCGATGGCAGTGTGAGGCTTTGTTCTTAGTTGGGCCTATGGCTGAGCCAATAAACTGCACCCAGAGGTGTGGGTCTCGAGAACTATAAGCCATCTGAGACATTTGCAGAAATTCATCAGCAAATATGTACTTTTCCCTGCCGCAACTTAGAAAGAAGACGTTTGTCATGCGCCCGACAGAAGCACAAGACCTGCATGGGGCACTTGTGCTAGGCCAGCTCTTCGCAGTTCAGCCGTATGTCATGGCACATCAGGACTTGCCGGATTCGATGCTCTTACCAACTTATTATTCATCTCGCAGCTTTCTGTCTCTTTCTCTCTCTCACTCCCTCTCGCGCTCTCTCACTCCTTCTCTGTCTCTCTCTGACTCTCACCCTCCCACTCCTCCTCGCTTGCTCCGCTCGCTCTCAGTGCCCCACTCTCCGACCTTGTCCCTGGCGTCGCTTCTCAGTTTCCTTTCGCGATCTCAGGTCCAGGTTGCCGTCTTTTTGGGATGAACCTGTAATCAGTACCTCCCCAGCCTCCCCATGCAGGTCACCGGGTCATGACTTCCAATGACAAAATGCTTCGTACAATTCATGAATCCAGGGCATCCCTCAACACTCCATGAGCCTTGCTGTAGAAGTGGAAGAGGAGTTTGGACCGCCACCTGACAGGCTGGGATTTGCACTTATCTGACTAGTTGTGTTTTGGCCGATGTTGGCCACAAGATACAACATTTTCATAGTGGCGGGCGCTGCTTGGGCCATCAACAGCATAGCCTGTGGGCCCATGACTTTCGGAAGCAGCTGACAGGCGACGGAGATGAATCGGGATTCATGCGACTTTCCGGATGAGAAAAGACGGAGAGAGCGCGAGAGAGAGGGGGAGGGGCCTCCCCTTCACCCTAGCCCTGGCGAAAGAAAGAGAGAGAGTGAGAGAGAGTTGTCTTGTTTGCTTACTGAAGTGGGGGCAACGGGGCCGTGCAGAGTTGTCGAACTTGGAAGAAGCGAGTTTGATGTACAGAGCTGGTGTCCTCCTTAAGCGACGAGGCCTGGGGGTTACATTCTAGGTTTAGGGGGGACCACAGTTTCGGAACACAGGCCTCATCGAGTAGACTTTGTACCGACTCAAGACAAGCAGGGCGCGCACGCGCGCGGGGGAGGGCTCGGACGTGCCCTTTCTCTGGCTGTGTCGAAGAAGTGAGCGGACCCGAAAGCCCCATGAACGATGGGGGGCCCCCATGGGCCGGGGGTGTAACGAGCCCCTTGCACCTGAAGGAGGAAGAAGAAGAAGAAGAGAGATCCCCTTGTTTGTGTGAGCATATCGAACGAATGGTGAAACTGGCCTTCATGGTGCACATGTGCTTCGCGACGCGCGCGCGCGAACGGGGGAACTTCCCCCTCCTCTAACCCTGACGAAAAAGAAAGAGAGAGAGAGAGAGAGAGAGAAAAAAAAACAAAAGAAAAAGAAAGAGAGAGAGCAACCGTTTTGGCTCAAGTACTGCATCCTCGGGGGTCTGTTACACCTCCTTGCATAGGGGAGGGGAGGCACAGAGTTAACCTAGGGGTGTCTCCCCTGGGGGAGCTTCTGCTGCCTTTCCTCAGCGGTGTTTGAGTCCTTCGCCGTTGCTGCTTCCATCAAGTGGCCCAATTAAGTGTGCGCGAAGCCTTGCCGCCATTGTTGTTCTTCAAGACGGTGAAGTGTGCCAGCTACATCCACAGCGCTACGGCAGGGGAGCTCGGTGTGCAACGGTTCAGGAGGGCATTATTCCTATATGCTGAACCTTCGGTGCTTTGAGTACCGCGAGCACTACGGCATCGGCGACCCTACTCGTTCAGTACCACAGGGTAACGATTCTCCGGAAGTGCGCCGGGAGATACAGAACCACGAGGGAGTGATCGTGATACTTTTTCGACAGCGCCAAGAACGATACGTTCGGCGAAGCCAGTTATGCAGGCCGAGATGCATGGGCCTCGGAAGGAACGGGGGAAACCCCGAGAAGTTTGTCAGAAATGCCTCGCTGGAGGGCACGGCCACACGGGGCACCTCGCTGCAGCTGACAACTGTGTCATGTTCGGAGTTTCAAACCGCACCCGAGAAGAAGATGACCGCATCCTGCGCCTACATGAAGCCGCCCTCGCCCAAGATGACCTTGTTACCAGAGCTGCCATGGACAGGGGAAAATCCTTGACCCAGGAGAAGCGGATGAAGAATCAAGGGAAGACATTAATGGTGCCTTCCCGGCCGTCAGGTTCACAGCCACAGGAAAAATGCAACCAGATAAGGGCGGCTAGACAAAGCTAGGTAAAACTAAAGAAAGCTAGAGTTAGAGAAAGCTAGAAAAAGCTAGATAATTACTTTGATCATGCGCCGAAGATCTGTGGCTTTGAAAGAATGAAAGGGTAGGTCCGGAAATACCGCAGAGCCTAAAAGTGCTGGGGCTTTCTGCTTCAAGAATGGAAAAACTAAACCCTAAACCATGTGCCCCACCATGAAAATATTACGTCAACTTAGATAACCATGCTAGACAATGCTAGATAATGCGAGACCATATGCTACAGAATGCTAGATGTTGCTAAGAAATGCTAGATTCCGGCCAGGTCCGGGAGGACCCGGATGCCAGAAAATGCTAGATAATGCTAGAAAATGCTAGATTCCGGCCACTGCCTGACGTCATTGCTAGACAATGCCAGACAATGCTGGATAATGCTGGGCGGTGCTAGATGGTGCTAGATTCCGGCCAGGTCCCGGAGGACCGGGGATGCTACTAAATGCTAGATAGTGCTAGAAAATGCTAGGTTCACAGCGTTTGTCCCGGACTTTTTTTCTCTCTTTATCTAGCTTCAGTGTTCGTGTGCCAGTTGTGAAGAAGGCGGCTTGCACCATGATGACAAAGAGTTCCTAAGAAAGAAGAAGGGAAAGAAGAAGAAAAAACTGAAGACCAAGCAGCCGAGTCCGGAGCCGAAGAGGGATATTTGCGAAGGCATGGACCCTGATGACCCACTAATGGAGTCATTTTGCCACATACTGGGAAGGCCTATGTCTTCCAGGGGTCCCTCCCCTCCCAAGGCTACTCCACCGCAGGACCAGACCCCGCCTAGTGGCTCATCGACCTCCGCGCCGACTACGTCCCCGGCTTCTCCACAACCAACAAGACCGCCTCTTCCAGCTTACCCCGATCCAAGACAACGCAGCTCCAGCAGTCCCCCGTGCTCCAGCCAGGACCTTCCTTCCCGAAGTAAGCCCAGCAGAAAGACAATGCGAGACCACCGCCTCATGAGAGAGGCCGCTTTTCCATTCCAACGGGGGTGATCCCTGGACAACTACCTGCTAATGAGACTAATGCCTGTACAGAGGGGGAAACCCCATCACTCGATTCGTGCGTTTGGGATGCATCAAGGTTCCGTGGCAATGTGGCGTGCATGTGTAAGACATTTCGATCAGTTCTTTTCGACGGGCCGCCGGAGCCTCCATAAACTTTTCATTTGCCGTGCCCCCGCTAGGGACGTCAGAGCCACCATGCTCCATGTTTTTCCAATTCGAAGCCACATGCCAGATACTGCTGCAGTGTCAATGGGGGTCACCCATCGTATGTTGCTTGGTTTTGGGTTCCCTTGACTTAGGGTGGTCTTTTGCCGGGTTTGCTCGGTCTGCTTGGTCGTTGTACCGGGGGACTAGCATGGCTGCATCGTTGCATCTTTATTTCTTATTGGAGACCATCCTCTTTTCCCGGTGGATACACCCTGCCTTGTCCGATATCGGATTGTTGGTATGCTATTCGGGTATTTTGATATCTGCCCGGGGCTGGCCTCGTACCTTAGCTGCATTGAGACCATGGCAACAAACTAGGCGACTGGTTATGCTTCCCAGTAGGGTGGTGGTCGAGGAAGAGGAGGCATCTGAGCATTCACCACAGGATCAACATGATGATCAGTATCATGAGCATCAGTGGAGAGATCCTTGAGAAAATATCCTTGAGAAACTTGGATACCACTCCCAGTTGGGTCTTCAAGCTTGGCAATACATCAGTGGGCACAGATTTGGTCATTAGATCCACGGGATTCCGCGTGCCCTGAATCTTAGCCAGCCTCAATAGGCCCATCTGCACCAAATTCTGGACATACAGAAATCTCAGTTCAGCATGTTTGGTCTTCTTGCCAGTACCAAATCTGGTCGCCATTGATTTGCCAGCCATGCTGTCAATGTGGGCAATCACATTAACCTTCTTCTCCAGCTTCGATTCCAACAGCATTGACCGAACAAACAGTGCTTCAGACACTCCTTGACCAATCGCATGCAATTCCGCTTCGCCGGAGGATAGCGCAAGTGTTCCTTGTGTCCTTGCAGTGCTGACCATGCTGCACCTTAGACCTTAGGACATTCACAGTGGATCTGCAGGTGCTGTTTCGCATGAGCACACATCCAGCCCAGTCAGAATCCACTTAGACATTCACAGCTATGGTGCAATTTCCATCCGCAAGTTGATACGACGGGCGCAGTGTCAGCACACACATTCTCGTGTCAATCCGGTATCGCAGTAGGTGTCTGCACTTTGCGACACTCTGCATTGTCGGGCTTTTTGGCTGCATCTTCCATGCCGGCTTGCCGGTGAACGTCGAAGGAGCTTGCAGCCATCGACTTGCGGAAAAAGGTGCCTAAGCACAGTCCAGCCAGGCCCTGGTGCGCTGCGGGGCCTCGCGCGGCCTGCCGGGTCGGACAAAGCCGGCTCAGGACTCCGCCCGAGAGTTCGGCTCGCTTCGGCTCATTTCGGGCTCTCACAATCTCTTCAGATCGAGCGTATAGGGACCTCGCACTTCTTAGAAGCATTGGCTGAGCCTACATTGAGAAGCTGGAGATCGGGTCTTGTTTACCGAACGCCGGGAAGGATTTCTGGGTTCGAGAATTTCAACTGGTAGGGGCGGTCAGCAGAAGTGGGACCCTCCGAAACACCAGGGCATTGAATACCCCACAACCCGACCGGCAATCATGCAAAAAGGGTGCTTCAGTTTGCCTTGGTGACCGACGAACAATCCGCAATACTGCCAAGATGACGTCCCCAAGCTCGTCCGGCATTCATGTGCACTGCAGGATAGACCTGGAACATGGCGGGCATCCCTGGCAATTTCTGCTCTTTGCATGAGTTGCGAGGGATGAGACTTCGTAATCCTAAACCTTGGAACCTCATGCTTCGCGTTTCCAACAGTGCCGGTATGGCTAAGACCAAACTAGAACATACTGGCTCTGTCCCTCACGGCCCCTTGAGGGCACCGAA